AAAGAGTGTGAAGAAAACAAATATGGAAGAAATCCAGTTTTCTCCCTGTAAGGAAAGCACACCACCAGTGAATTTATTTGCCATGAAACAAGTACTAAAATCTCTTGCAACATAAAAATCAGGAGCTTGTAAAAAACTTTCTTGGAAAGTTAATAAAAACAAAAAATATTTATAAAAATAAAAATAAATCCTTCCTCCCCACAAGATTTGAAAAGGAAGATGAGGGTTTTCCAATACATATTTAAAACTGTTTTGAAATTATCCACAGAATTACTATGCTAGGTAACATACTAGAGAATTTTCTCCTGTAGCTTTTGTACAATATGGTTGATGAAGACAAAAAGAACAGACTGTCACTGAGTGACTAGTGAGATTACTGGAATGGACTCCCTATCAACATTAGCGTTTAATAAAATTTGGTTTCACCTCTAAGTAGTTTCATGTACAGCTATAAAATTGACTGCTTGCTAATGAAATAATAGCTCATTTTTGCTAAAAAGGGGAGGTCTCACTTCAACCCTTCCTCATCTGACCCTCTTAATGAGCTGATTTTAGCTCACTGACACAACTGGCATAAGTCTACCTTTTGTTGTTGTTGCTTGTTTCAGTGGGTTAGTAAGTTAGATTAGCTCACAAAGAACATGACAAACACCAGAGTTTTGGCACACAGCAGCACCCGACAGCTAGAAAGAAAAAAAAAAAAAAAAAAAAGGCTAGGACAGGGAACTGAACATCTTCCTTTTGACAAGTGAGATATTTGCTGCATCTCATGGAATTGTAACCCATGACAGAAAGGTAGCAATATCTCTGCTTTACTGTTTAAGCAATTAAGTCTTTCCCTGCAATGACAGTCAATCTTTATTCTCAATCTTAGGAAAAATTCTCTAACATATAGTCATTGTCATTCACAGCTATACCTTGGCTGCTTCCAAAAGGAGTCTATGGTATTGGCTTGCAAAGAAAAGTTGGTTTCACGTCACCAAGAAGACTGAATTTGTCAAAGAAACGTTTGGCACAATCAGGAATAGAAGTCCTTAACAAAGTCTCCATTCCATATATTTAATTTCAGTGAACAGGACTTCAGAAGCAGACATTAGCAAGTGACTATTTAAAAGATCAGATTTTCACATCAATGGCTAAAAACTGAGTTCAGTTGATAAATAATCTAGTTTTCCCTCACATACTTGCTAACTGACCTTGTTTAACCACAGAAAATCACCAAAACACCCACCCCCACAAGACTGAAGCATTCACCTATTTTACATATATTCTTGCTTTCCTGTAGCAAAACTTCTCTCTTTTGTAGATCTCAGTTATATATCTGTAGCTCACAGCACACCCACTTCTACGATCATACGCAAACAGAATTAACTGTTATGTGTGAAAAAGTTATGAACTTTTGAACCTATTGAGTATTAAAAGCAATGCTTGTAAGGAAAGAAGCTTTTTATGATCCAAGTCTTAACAAAAACATTGTTTTGTACATTGTGACTAAACAAAATTGTAGATCAGAAACTAATTTATATTATTGCTTATCAGGATGTAGTTCAGCTTTTAACATAATGGTTCACTTTCTAAGGTAAACATGTTATTTAAGAAAGTTCAAACTGCAGCAAGCAAATGATCAAATAGAAATAAAGTGTCACTACACACCTGAGAAACATGAGATGTTTAATTTATCTCAAATGTCAATAGAACCCCAGCTAGAAGATTTTAAAATTTTGGTGGTTTTTTTTGGGGGTGGGGTTTTTGTTTGTTTGGGGTTTTTTTCTCCTTTAAGTTTTATTGTATATTGTTGGAAAACTTGTGGTGAGCAGTACTATAGAGAGGAACAGTGTAAAATGTTATTGTGTTAATTCTTGCAAATGTGATAGAAAGCCTGATCACAGAATAACCAGTAAGACAAAGTATTTCCTCAGTAACACCCTTTAGTTCATGATTAGTAAACATTTCTTAAATGTTATTTTCCTGAAAGCAGAAAGCAGTATGCCTTCATAACCTGTTATAAGAATCTAAAAAGCACACCAATTTCCAGTTCTGCAATTCAAGACAGAAATCTGATGGACAAGACAGGCTAAGAAAGGGCAATGCAGTATTTCACAATACTGTTTAGCTTCTAAATTTTATTTATTTTGATATCCAGAGTATATACATCACCTCATACAGTCAAATTCCAGAATGCTGCATAAAAGTTAAAGTTAATGTAGCTCACCACTACTTGTCCTCCTAGGATAGCAAATTAAAATGCTATCAATACCTAAGGTCTCAGCAGAAAAACATTTTTTGTGACTTTTGAGGCTATAAATTGTTTTTTTAATGTTTATGCAATACTACCTAGTTTCCAAAAATTCTTAAAGCTGAATATATTAATACTACTAAGCTAAGTGCAACTGTAATTGGAATGGGGAAAGGATCTCCCTATCCTATATCATAAAAAAAGAATTTTTTCTGGCAAGAAGCCATTACACTGCAAAAGGCAGAAACTGAAACTGCCTTTTTTTTTTTTCTTTTTTTTGAGAGCCTGCACATAAAAGTAAATACAAAATAAGAAAACACAATATCTACTTTGGAAGTTTAAGGACTAAAAATTCTGTGCCTCCATTTATGAAACAGTCAAATCAGTCAAACTAAGATTAACCCCACATATGTTGGTTGACTTCCTCATGTTACAGCAATGAGGAACAGAATGGTTCTCAGAAATAATGATTAAACAACACTACAGCTCAGATTAAGTATCTAACATGACATAGCCAAATTTTCAAAACACATCACCAGGAAATGCTTACATTAGCATAGCTTGAGCAGGAGGTTTTGTGGATAGGAATTATACCTATGTACCATTAACAAAGATGTTATTTTGGCTGCTACAGAACCAACATGTTTTCTTGCACAATTTTTTAATGTTATTCAGTAATATCCATATACAAGTGCAAGATATAATCAAAAGGCTGTCCACAAATTTGTGTTTTCTGTGCATTTGGAGTACTGCTTTAGTAAGTGTAAACTGCATTTTGGTGTGTTAAAGCCAACACCTTTTATACAGGTGCGCCCCTATGAACATGAACACTATAAATGCCCAGTTCAAAAACAGAAAAAGAAGAGTGCAAGTTACTCAAAGGCAAACTATCAGATTGCCCTAAAGTGATACAGCTTTAGGGGGCATGAATTTTAACTATCATTGCGGGGGGGGGGAATTACTTAAATCTAGATCTTAGCTTACAAGAGAGTAGATATTTATACATCCCATTTATTTTGAGATATATTTAGAGGATTAAAATATAGTCTAATGCCACATGATGTAGAGAAGTTGTGTTTGTTTCAAGAGATTATGTAGAAAAACAAAATTTAAAAAAATGCATAGCAATGGCTTCCCTCAATTTATCTCGTCTTGCCTATATTTGCATCTACATATATTTATGAAGCAGGAGCATTCCTTAACCAGAGAAAATAATTTAGCAAGTGTTTTACTAGTTTCTATTTGGTACCCTGAAAAGGCTTGGGGGGGGAAAACTCAACCATGTTTAACAGGACTGATAAAGCATCAGGGCGACTTGGCAAACACAAGCAAACAAAAACATCTTCGCTCCTAAGTAAAGATTTTAAATGGGGTCTATGATTGCTCCTAGTAGTGCACAGAGCACTTATAGAACAAAAAACGGGAAGCAAAGTAAGTCTGTTGAATGCCTAATTGGTGTCTTTCACATACTATTACATATAGGCAGTCAATTTTTATATATTATAACTATGCTATAGGAAATTATATACCCATTTTTAGCAATAAATCTGTCAAACTCACCAAGATTCCAGAAGGAACCCTTTCATGGGCAGCAACAACACTTCTATTGAAGTTATCTTCAAAACCATCCTGTTCTGAGAAATGCATCTCAGAGAACAGGCAACTAACGTTCCACAGTACATGTAAATGCAAAGCTTTTAGCCATAAGAGAGTACTGTATCAGCATTTCTTCTCATTCCATAGAAGCAGAATTATGTAAATCTTCTGGTCTCTTAGAGAAAAATGTTTGCTATACTTTCCCATGCAGTATTAAGATTAAAAAGGAAGCACTTCTTTAAGAAAGTTCACACAGAAACTCCCTCACCAATAGGCTTTGCTTGAAATGTCACAGCCCCCTTGCGCTCTTTGCGATAAGTAATAACATGGGCAGACTTTGCCATATGTTTGCACTGATAGGTAATGATCTTGTTTTACATCAGGTCATGTGACTTTAGCTGAAGCTCCCACGAAAAGAAACAGGGATTTAGTTAATGATTCTTAAGCAGAGTCTACATTAGCTCACTTGGAGACTTTTCATCCACTGTTGCAACTCTACCACCTGTAGCAGCATTCAAAGTCCTAGTTCAGCCAGCTGCACACCTAATTCAAGAATGCCCGCTCCCTCCGATGATGGTTTCACTGGGCTAGCTAGTCATGTTTTCCAGGACACATTTGATGACATTT